GAAAATGTTAGTATTAAGTTATAATGATATGTCTAACGTAAATACTCAGTTGAATTTTCTTTATGATTAAGCCCCAAGTGGCACAGCGGTATGTCTACGTACTTACAACTCTAGAAACCGGGTTTCGATACCCGTGGTGGACAGAGCACAGTTGTAGCTTTGTGCTTAACTACAAATAAAGAAAAAACAAACAAACAAACTACTGATCGTAAGGAAGGCGGCGGGATAGTCAGCAGCAACCCACCACTTATTATTCACGCTAAAGAGTTGACAATCACTCTTTTTTTGATTCACACACAGTTTAAAGTGCGGGGAACACTTGATGGTATCGCACGGATTCAAACCCAGATCGTCACTCCGAAATCCAAAGCTCTGTCACAGGGTCAACACATACTTGAATTAATGTTGTCTTGGTAATTTCAACGTTAACCATTATTTAAGAGCAACTCTGTAGAGTTATGGAACTTCGAATAAGAAAAGTATAGACTGCAAATAGCAACAGCTATATGACAAAATTACAATTTTTCAGATTCGGTAGTGCTTAGGGCCGGGCGTGACTTAGCGGCTAGAGTGTCGGGCTGCGAGTGGAAAAGTCCGGGGTTTGAGACATGATGAAACTGAACAAGCTTTGCCCTTTCAGTTGTGGGTATGTTATAAAAGCGACTGTCAATATCTTTATTCGGCTAAAATAACCGGATAAAACCCTTATGTCGGCAGCTGTTAATAGATAGCTTTCTTCCTTCTGGCCAATGGTTCAAAATTAGGGAGGCTATATCGGAATCCTAAAGGTCTTCAATCTGCCGTTTAGCTCACGTGCGCGTAAAGTGCCGTAAAGGCTGAAAATTCCAATTCCAATTCCATAGCTCAGCTAACCTCTCCACACTAATGTTGAATGATCGATATTCAGCAGAGAATGCAATCTGGTGATTAAAGTAACGTTCTTTAGATAAGAAGAACCAAGATCCGAGCCGGGATATGTTGCTGAAGTTTCAACTATAGGAGCTTTATAACCGTGATAGTCAATCCCGCTAATCGGATAAGAGTGGTCGTAGCTGCACTCTGTCTGTTAAGCAGTTCTGAATTATGGATAGCTATATGCCTGAGCCTTGGGGTCAGTGGGATGGCAGGTTAGCCCATGTGTCGCATAAGAGGCCACAAAATTGCAAACACAAAATACTAGCTCTTTCAATAAAACATTGTGTGCCTAAATTTATAATTTTGAATTGCATTTAATCTTTTTTTTGACACTTACATAAAAGGTGTTTGATAATTTCAAGCTAATTCAATTTCTCATAGAGGGTACAGTATGTATTTCTGTACGTGCGTATCGTATGAGATGCGTTTTACAGAGCACTTATAAATAAATAACCCATGAAAAAATATATATATTAAAGGAATGCGTCACTTGACAAGAAGCCAAGAGTTTGTGGCCATCTTCCAGTGCCTGTTAGCATTAGAGCGATACCAGCTGAACATTTATTATACTACAGTAGTCGAAAAAAGGGCGCGAATCTTTTGCATCACGTAATTAAGTAAAAGTTACGTTATCATTTATTATAAAAAGTTAAGCTTAAAATATTAAAAACTAAATATATTCAATTTAAATTATTTTCCTTTTTAGTTTCAGTATTTTCGTCTTATTTATTTGTAACTTAAGATTAATCAATAATTGTTTGTTTATTTGTAATTAAGCACAAAGCTACACACGGGGCTATCTGTGCTCTGCCAACCACGGGTATCGAAAACCGGATTCTAGCGTTATAAGTCCGCAGACATACCGCTGTGCCACGGGGGCAGATTAATCAGTTAACGCTTTAGTATGTTAAATTCTTTCTTTAGCATTTTCCCCCTATACAATAGTTACAGCCTGTTTTCATGGCAAATCAATTTAGTCCGTACTCTATCTTAGTGTGAGAGTTAAATTCTATTTTCAGAATTATTTTATTTTGTTTATGTGCTCCTCAGCTTGTTCTAAGACCAACTAAAGAAATTAGATCCTTCCATTAGTGGATCTTATCAAGGATTTTCTTATTCCATTACCCTGAAAACAGATATCATAATGACATACACATGACACACACATATTTCCCAGGAGCTGAAACTTCCTTAGATATGAGTAAGCTTGTGTTTGTAAGTTTGTGTTGCTGAGGCTTACGGCAATATTTTTCAGAAACCGCCTTCAGATAAACAGGTAGAGAGCCTGTGAGTACTCAAAAACTTAAATAGCTAATATAACATCGAGCGAAGAGGGTAAATCGTATATGCATATGTATCTAAGTATTGAATCCTATACTATGAGCTCATATACATAACAATAATGGTTGATATTTATTTGTTATGCTGATAGAAATTTAATCATACCCTAAAAATTATAGATATTTTATCATAATTATACATTAGTTCGATTTTACCCCTAGTGGCTCAGTGGTAAGTCTGCAAGTTTACAACGCTAAAATTCGGATTTCGATACCAACGGTGAGCAGAGCACAGATAGCCCACTATGTACCATTGCGTTTAACGACAACCAAACCAAAACTGGTTTCACTTTCATAAACGAAACTGTAACTATACAGGATAGCTCACAGATAGTAGGAATGATGTTACAAGATAGCTCAAAGATAGTAGGAATGATGTTACAGGATAGCTCACAGATAGTAGGAATGATGTTAGAGGATAGCTCACAGATAGTAGGAATGATGTTACAGGATAGCTCAAAGATAGTAGGAATGATGTTACAGGATAGCTGACAGATAGTAGGAATGATGTTACAGGATAGCTGACAGATAGTAGGAATGATGTTACAGGATAGCTCACAGATAGTAGGAATGATGTTACAGGATAGCTCAAAGATAGTAGGAATTATGTGTCATAAAAGTAATGTGTTTTTTTCTTCTTTGTGTTGGAGGTGATCGAAGACATTTGAATTGACCTGTTCCTTTATTCTTCACATTTGAGTTTATAGCGTATTATACTGTCATAGAAGTTGCTGTCAGAAAATGTATTTCTTCTATACAAACATGGCCCATCATGGCCAGGTGAGTAGAGCTTTCGACTCGCAAGCTGAGGGTCGCGCGTTCGAATCCCCATCCCACCAAACATGCTCGCCCTTTCAGCCGTGGGGGCGTTATAATGTGACGGTCAATCCCACTATTCGTTGGTAAAATAGTAGCTCAAGAGTTGGCGGTGGGTGATGATGACTAGCTGCCTTCTCTCTAGTCTTTCACTGATAAATTAGAGACAGGTAGCGCAGATAGCCTTCGTGTAGCTTTGCGCGAAATTCGAAACATGGCCAGGTGGTTAAGGCGCTCGACTCGCAATCTGCAGGTCGCGGGTTCAAATCCCCTTCACACCAAACATGCTCACCCGGTGTCCGACTAGGACGCCGGTCCTAATCCCGGATACACACCTCCAAAAGAATTTGAATGTGTGAAAAACACCATACGAAACTACTACTTTTGGGCCACTCTAAATTTATTTAGGTCAAAGCGCGAGATGGGACATCAAATTAGATTGGTGTTATTTTGATGAAAACAACATCCTTACTAGGTAGATTTGAGTTCTCAGTTACAAACACTCAGTTAAATAAGTTTAGTTTTATTTTTATTAGAAAAAAGTTCCTCAATATATATATATATACTGACTTAAAGAGACTTTTGCTATACGATTCGTTTTTTTTTTTTTTCAATTAAATATACAAAAGTAGCTTACAAATTGCGACGTGTTTGTGGTAAATAAAACCAACATAATGCATGGCTTTAGTTTATATATAAACACTAATGATATAAGATGGAACTGTCCATAGTCTTCCGAAGAATGTTACTCTAAAAAAATCTCACTTCATTTACTTCTTTAAGTTCTAACTCGTTAATGAATTGAAGCTACCAGAAGATGCTATGCAGTAAAAAAAAAAAATTCGATAATTATGTCTCCGACTTGAAATAAAAACATATACCGGGCTTTCTTGTAGCCCATAACCGTTGCCTGCATAGACTATGCTTATGAGTGTACATGCTAAATTATAACACTGCACAGCTCGTGACGACGTGATTATCTCTAGCATTGTACGCTACAACAGAACCGTATTTATTTTACGGTGGTTTTTACTTATGTCCTTTGAAATACGAAATTAAAAATAATTTAGTCACGTACCTGATGGGCACGTGTAAAACTGATATGAGAATTTGTAATTGGGCATTTTGAAGTTTACTCACGCTTGGTTTTGTTACATTGAGCCACCCTCATGAATAATTTATTGGTTTTTGCGAATGTTGCCTGTAAAGATCTCGGGTTCCTTTTTTGTGGCCAGTCAGGAACTTGACATAAGTAACAAGTTAACAACTGTGCTCACTTGATGTAGTCGTTGACTCAGCCCGTTGATTTACATGCTTTATTTTACACGGAAATCATTTCGTTGTTAATCTTTATTTGAATAGACGACTACGTCACACTGAGCATAGACATGTAAACCAGATCTGATAGGTGTTTTGATATTTGTTTATTCATTTACGTGAGTCTGTGGCCTTTTCACAGTATAACCGATATATCTTTGTATGCAACGACAAATGAAGGGATAAAACACATACAGGGCTATTTTCAAGGCGATATTCAGTCTTTGTATTTAAAAAAGAACGCGAAAAACACTTGAATTTAAAAAGTCTTGGGTTAAAAATACATCTCATCTGTTTGTGCGATGTAACCTTTACAAGAAATAAAGCACATGTAGTTGTTTTTTTTTATATATATTTACAGACAGACAGACTGACACTAAATGTGTACTAGAATGTAAATCCTCACTTCCTGAAAATACTGTCTGAAGTTATCCGTTGTTGTACTTGTTCCTACTTTCCAGGTATTAACAGTATTAAGAACAACAGAAACTGTATATAATTACATCGCAGGAATAAAAGGAATTGAATCCACAACAACTTCAGGTAATTTTTTAGCATAACTACAAATAAAGTATTGTTAGATAAATATATTCATAGGTCTAGTGAACTTACCTAAATAGTTCAGAAGGATGAACCCACAACGACCTTGATTAAATGCAAACCTTTTGGCTTAGGACTTCAGATTTCTCTTCTCACACCCAACTGAGCTTAACTTTTTGAAAGGTTTCTGTAGTACACATTTGGAATGTGTCACGTAGCATTGTCTATTAAGTCCAAGTATATTCACTGACAAAGTCAAGGCCACTTAACGATTTGGAGCCATCTTAAAACTAGAGTCTCTACGAAAGTGGGACGATTGTATAATGTTACACATGGAATAATGAAGAAATGGCACACAAGGAACGTCTTCAGTGGCTTTTCTGATATTGCCTCTGCTAATTGTCAGCTCCTCGATACATATAAAGGTCGAACCAAAGTACACCGTCAGTATGGTTAAAGTAAGAAACAAATCTGTATCGTTATCATGTTTCAGTTCCTTTGTTTGCACGCAGGAATATTTGACATGATAACAGGTTATTCAAACATCTTTATCGTTACTTATATTTTACGTGTCTGCTAGCCGTTACTCATTACTTTATCTATCTACAATGGGACACGAACTTTTTTTTTCTGTGTTAGTATTATCGATTTGACGTGCTATGTGCGGGTGTTTCCAAAATGAGGTTTTAAAAGCTGATCACAAGTAACGCTAGATTCAAAGTTGTATATACTAAATAGGGAGGTATCGAAAACGATCAGTCTGATCGCCAACTCTTTATTTCATTGGCAGCGAGATATGAATGACGATGTCTTTAAACTGTACAAAATCATTTTCGTTCGTTTAGCCCAACATTTGGTTAGAAAAAAACTGTCGTTGTGCATGACTTTCGAAACAAATCTATGAATCATATTTATGGGGGTTTTTCACAATCTACGAATCATGATTAAACTTTCTTTCCGAAATTATATGACCCCTTTGTAAATTTATCTACATGTTTCAGTATCGATGATAAAATATGAAATAAAGAAAACAAACCTTTACTTTGATTTTGTTATAGTTTGATTTCTATATAACAAGTTATGTCACCGCGAATAATGAAACGTGTTCTATTGGTTTCACTATATTGTCAGATTTATTTTTTCTATCTCGCTGTAAAATGAATTATCGCCAAAGTATACTGTCAACAAGGTTAACATGATAAAAACATGATTTTTGATACTGTTTGTTTTAACGCAAAGCTAAGCAATAAGCTATCTGCACTCAGTTTACCACGACAATCGAACCATGGATTTTAGCGTTGTAAGTCTATAAACTTACCCCTGACGGTTTCCATACAATTTAAGTTTTATACATCAAGACGTGCATATTTTTCTAAGGTGATCAAGTCGTCTTCATAATTATCTTTTCATGAACTCTTAACATTTTAAAGCTGACAGTAAACAGTTTGAAGTAAAAGTGTAAAGACATAATTCGTGAATTTTTTTTTTTTGTTGGATAACTTTCGCTGTTTTCAGAACGCCTATATATATATAACTACATGACGTTATGTAATCTTACACGTCCTAGACAGCATGAAATAAAGTGATCCTAGTAAGACCACGGTAATGCTTCATCATAATTCCTCCGTAACTATTCTTTATTACCACATTACAAATCAATTACATTACCACATTTTCAGTCCGCAGCTCACTAAGTTAACCACTAGGTTCTGTCTAGCATTTTTTGAAAGCACTGTCGTACATTTTTGGGCTATACAGAAGTAACTAACTGTGTTTTGTAGTCGATATTTCAATCCAACATTCCGGGGTACTTTTCTGAAAGACTATGTTGAAAAATAGCAACTTTTTGCTTGTCTGTTTCTTGTTAAGGGCAAAGCTACAAAGTGGGTTTTCTGTGCTATACCCACTGCGACTGTCGAAACCCGATTTTTACCGTTTTAAGCCTTCAGATATTCCACTGAACCACCGAGAGGGGAAGAGGCAGAATCTAGTATCGGAAAATTGAAAAAAGATTTAATGTGTTGTAAATCTGTTGTTTCTCTTATCATGGGTTCTTACTATGAGTCATCAAACGAGTGATCTCAGAGATAAAAAGTTGCTGCTGTATAAAAACCCGGATGACGTTATCTTGTTAAAATGAAAGTCTTAATCTACGTGTTTATGAGTTTGTTTATTTACCATGTTTTGAAAAACACGATTAGTAAGAATTAATAAAAACATACGGTCGACAGTCTAACACGAAGCAATTTAACTTTCAGCTTTTTTAACTAAAATAATAAAATATTCAAAACTAATAAAGACATGACGACAGAAAAACAAAACAGTTTGATCAATTTATAAAGATAAATCCAAGTAAACTAACGAATTTCGTTATATAACTTTGTTGTTTGATATGAGTAGTTGTAAGAGAATTTTACTGACAAATCTTACAAAAACTTTAGTAATACATTTGATTTTTAATGTAAAAAACAGAATTGTACTGTTGGCTAAAACCTTGTCACATTTCGTGTAGATGTACTTCGTAAGTTCACAACTGTAGTAAGTTAACATATATTACATATAAGTAAATAAGGGGAGACTCTGAACGTGCACGATGATTGACTGCCACAGGCAATAGAGGGGAGAGTTTGTTTGTTTGTTTGAATTTCGCGCAAAGCTATACGAGGGCTATCTGCGTTAGCCGTCCCTAATTTAGCAGTGTAAGACTAGAGGGAAGGCAGCTAGTCATCACCACCCACCGCCAACTCTTGAGCTACTCTTTTACCAACGAATAGTGGGATTGACCGTCACATTATAATTGCCCCCACGGCTGAAAGGGCGAACATGTTTGGTGGGACGGGGATTCGAACCCGCGACCCGCAGATTACGAGTCGAGCTCCCTAACCACCTGGCCATGCCGGGCCAGAGGGGAGAGAAGAGGGTAGAGACGACATTCGCAGAGTTCAATAGTAAATAAATCCACTTTGCTATATAGAGTTGGCAATAGTAATCTTAAGAAGATCTATAATTATAAATGAAGTGATTATTCTGTCACATTTTATAAATCCAACACATTTGCTGTTTATCATTACTGGATATACTTTACAACAACAATGTAAAATCACAGACTTGCTATGTGTCACACATATTGAAACATTTATTAACAAGTCTTCAAGATACACTAATTTACCATTTATGTAAATATTTTAGTTTATAAAATACTGGATTATCTTTCACACAACTTTTCTACATTATGTCCATATAACTATTTGTCCATTTGTTAGAGTCTATATTTTTCATGTAAATACTGTGCAACAATATGTGAAAAGAAACTCTGAATTTATCACGAGACATTTTAATACATTGTACTAAACACATGTAACTACATATGTAAACAAATAAAGAATTCAATATAAACTAGTTTACATTTCGAAACAGATGTTTCCTCAGATAGATTTTAAAACAATGTTACAGTAATATGTATTATCTTTTCACTTAAAAATTTATGCACATTGTCAGTTACAAATCAGCATTGGTATGTATATATCAGATGAAATGGAAAAGTTCTTGTTTTCAAATATTGCATGGCAATAGAACAAGTTGATTCTCAAGTTGAAGCCATTGAAAGCCATATGACTAATAAACAAAGGTCAGTCCTGAGTTGACCAAGTGTATTTTACAATATACACAGCAAGCAGTCAGATCTGAGTTACTCATTCCTGTATAAACTGAAGTCATATCAGTCTACAATCAGTTTCAATTCAACTTTCATGCAATTACGACATCTTATAGTTCTACTAACGATAATTATGGACAACTCATATGTTTTAAGTAATATTCTATTGATTCCTTGTTTTTTAAACATATTCCTGAACGAAATTATACAAGTAATACTAAAAAATTACTTTTGATATTGATAACAGAAAATATGAAATAAGGGCAAAATAGTTATAATTTAATTGTATAAACCAATAAAAACTTCATTACATTACGTTATAACAACAATAATAAATTAATAAAACTTCATTACATCACGTTACAGCAACTAATAAACTAATAAAAACCTCATTACATCACGTTACAACAACAGTAATAAACCAATAAAAACTTCATTACATTACATTATAACAACAATAATAAACTAATACTAACAAACATCAGAAATATTGTTAAAGAGCTGTGAACTAGCAAAAACGAAACACAAATAACAACTAATGCTTAAAACCATACTGACAAATGGTGTATTAGTTTATGAGAAAAAAAAGTTAAAAATGGGGATAACAACATTATTAGATTATTTTTAACACATTTTAAAACTCCGAAGTCGAACATTTTGGAATTTGTCCAGACTAACAAGCTCAGTTGTTATAAAAATACTGGTTTAATCTTAGAAATCCTACGTCACTCTCAGGGCTGATGTACACTGACGAGGCTTCTTTTATCTCATCTGAATCTTCCGACTCCGCAGGAGGAGGGTCCGCAGTATTCTTATTTTAAAAGTTATATTCCTGGTTCAGAAAAGGTGTAAGCGTTTACGAACGAGCGAAAGGTTAATTTTCGATAATATTCGTTTTTGTTTTTTTACTACAAATCGTTTTAACCAGTGTCAGAGCTAGCGTTTCCTTCTTCAAAATGTCATTTCAAAGGCCATTTCTAGTTTCCATGAAGCGACCCGATTCCCAACAAGCGTGGGGGTTCCGGGTCGTGGGAGGAAGAAATCAAGATCATCCTGTGATGATACTCAAGGTTTGACGCTTATGATTAAACGTGTTCACCAATTTTATTTTAAAATATGACATTTTCTTAAAATTAATTATCGATTGTGTTATTTATGTATTTAACTTGTAAGTTGTACATAGTTGATTATACTTGAGAAGAATCATTCTATTTGTGAAATAATAATGTTTGGTTCTTTGAGTGATTGGTACTTTCAAATATTTGAAAACTCAAAAACAAATAAACGTTAAACTTATAATGCTTTATCTGAAGTTTCTAGGGCATATGAAGTCAAAGGTTAACAATAATAAGAAATTAGAAAATTAAACTTTACTGTGACTGAATGAGTAGTACGAGTAGTCCGCTAAACCCAGGACTTTTTCTGTTAGTTTTATATGTGCTAGCCCTATACTTGGTTTCAGGAGAAGCCTGAAGTTTGAATTACTTAAAATATATTCAGCACTTCTTCCATGCCCTTTCCTTTTTAACACAAAATTCCAGAGTGGGCTGTCATCGTTCTGTCTATTGCAGGGATCGAAATTCGAATCCTATCACTATAAGCTTTCAAGCTTGCAGCTGTGATACCTGGGATATGTTCTTTCTAGCTTTATATCTAACTCACATCAGTCAGAGAAAAAAAATAGAATTTTCGAAGAAAGTTAAGAGTTTTTTTTTTTTGGAAAACTGAAAAAAAAAAAATTTGATACTCCTTTGTAATCTTTTACAACCGTTTTCACGATTAAATGAGAGCAGTTTACGTGTTTCATAATAATGAAAATTTTAGTTGATTTTAATCTCGATGAGATCTAGACTGCTACCAAAGACGGAATATATAGTTAACCGCATAGGCAACAAAGATACCAAAGACGGCACAAACCGATACAGTGCAAGACTGATGGTAGGAAGAAAAGTAAGATGGAGAGTTCTACTTATACGTTAAGTTTTATTTTTAGTTGTCTACTGAGGACTAAACTTCCCGCTTAACCTTTTTACAACGCTACATGACTGACTCATGATGTATTTTAGTCTTTAAGTTTAATTAACTACCTGACCTAAATTTATTCCCGCCAAATGAGATTTATCTTATAAGTTCCAAGAAGACAGTTCAGATTCGTACCTAAAGGTTTTTACCTTGTCACGTGAGAAGCCGCTAATGTAAAATATTACTCCAAAATATCGCAAGTGCATCTTAATGACGAAGAATTATACCCACTGTAAAAATGATGTACCAGTGTATGGTCAACGAAACCTCGTGTTATGAAGTACGTCTATGTCAAAAAGTTAATGTACTTAAGAATGCGTCCATACAAATAAAATAATTAATGGTAGCTGTATTATGTGAATGACTTTGGTGAGAATAACAAGCATGGGCAACATTAGTGTCATTAGTGTATGAATAATATATTATTAACAAGTTGATAAATTCAAATCTATTTTATGATGCGTATTCATAAGCAATTAAATGGTTGAGAAAGTCACAATAAAGACGAATATTTATGGTAATGTTTTTTAAAAGTTCACAGCGCTGTTCTGAACATATTATATATAATTGTATAGGAAGACAGAATCGAAACCAGCAGACCATTGTTGGTTTTTCATATTGTAAATGATAAAAAAGCTACTGCAGCTAACACCAAGATACATTTACAAATCATATATTGTGATATTCTCTAGCTGTTCCGTAAATAAGGTGATGTGTAATATTTATAGATGCCACAAATGCTGTAATTCTTATGACTACCCTATACCATTATTTTCATTTTTGCTCACCAGGTAGTTCCAGCTAGTATAGCTGAGCAAGCAGGATTGTATAAGGGCGATGAAGTGATACAGGTGGGACGTGACAATGTTCAAGATATGACACATGACGAAGTCCAGGATGTTATCCGGAAATGTGGAAACCGATTAGAAATGGTCGTAGTAAGGTAACTGTTTTTCCTTGAAGTTATATATTTAATTTATTATTTAGGAAAACGTTTTACGTTTAAAAGTATTTATTAACATTTCGAAGCATTGTTTTTAGAAATAATCACTAAAATATCGAAAACACATTCTAGTACAAGTATAAGAGAATAACATTAAATATATATAAAAAACGCGCCACAAAATTATTCACATCATCTAAATCACATTGATTTACCATCCAGATCGAATCAGCTTGTGTTTGTATGTCTGTTTGTTAGTGCGTGAAAAACATTTCTTATGTTCTATAACTCATGAACAGAGTTCCGGATGTATATCGTATTTTTAACGGAAAGGTCGAGTTGTATTTACAGATATAGTTTTCATTACTAAGCTCTAGATGAAGTTCATACCTTGAGTGCACAGAACATGATATAAAATATAATTATAACTAAAGTATTTTGTAGTACAAACCACTGGCCGAGGTCTAAATTCAGAACAAATCTTTGATTAACATAATATCAGCTGCGATCTAGACAGAAATCAAATCTTTCATTAATCTTATATTACTTGAGATCTAAGCATACAAAAATATTGAACTTGACAAAGTCACAACAATCTAGGTGTGTTATATAAACGAGTTTTAAGAGTAAAAAACCTTTATTTCAATTTAAGCCGTAATTAATGATACAACATAAATGAAGAGCAATGTATTTCCAGTTAAAGTGAGTAACATCTAGGTTACTTAACATGTTAATGGATAATTTAGTTTTGTATATTTTTAATATAGAATATCCGAACTTTAGTGTTAAGTACAAAATGTAATTCACTGTCGAGATAACTTGTAAAGTACTAATCAGGCCTCCTCTACTTACCTTTTAGACATTTTATAGGTAGGGTATTGTTCTAAACCAAGAAACGCAAAAACAAACAACATTCTGCCAACAAGGAACAGAAAAAAAAAGAAATACACAAAACGTGTTTGAACAACAGTGTAATAGTTTTAATCTAAGTTTGACTTGAGATAAAGTTACTTAGAACATTCGATCGCATGGCGTACAGTATCGCTCCTTCATACTTGGTGGCAAGTTGTTAGGTATAAAATAAAGAGTGATAAAAAACCAGGAATATTTTATGTTTATACAGAAGTATGTTATGTCAGAGTTGAATTAAGTATGCCATTCGATTTTCATTCGAGAAAAGATATTAGTTTTGAAAATTTTCTATGAACGCCGTAAAAAGTTTTATGAACCCAGTCAAATTCATATTTGATGAATTGGAGTGAACCTGGAAAGTGGGATTGACCGTCACTTTATAACGCCCCCACGGTTGAAAGGGCGAGCATATTTGGTGGGACGGGAATTCAAACACGCGACCCTCAGATTACCAGTCAAACACCCTAATCACCTGGTCAAGCCCGGCCCAGACCCGTGAAATAATGACGGGTTGGAGTTGTATAATAAAAAACCGGGGTTCCCGCTCTTCCTTCAACGTGCTTTGTTCACCAAATTTACCCCTTCATCGTAAAAGAAGAACAATCACACATTGCGAAAATAAAAATAATTTTCATGTACACTCTCAAAAAACCAATACACACATATATTGATATGACCTTTATGATAAAAATTCTATCACAAAGTTTAAATTGGCTTTTATATATACTAGATAAACACACACACATTTATATATTGCTATTAGTCTTAACTAATGATGGTACTTGAAATGAATTTTTAGGTTTAAACTTCTTTTCCATATTCTATTAGATATGTCTTGATTCCAATATAAATGCATATTTCATATGAATTTCCATTCCTTATCAACGTTCAAAGTATTGTTATGAAACACACAGACAACTTAACAGAGAACCTAAATTTGTTTTCTTTGTGCAGATAGAGTTTTCATAAGTTCGGTAAAAAATATTTACAAAATAATGACTAGTTTTCTCTATCTAGCGTGAATAGCAGAGAAAGGAAAAAAATAATAATGAAACTGAAAACTTCAAGAAAACCTAATAAAAACATAAGTATTATGGTCACTAACCTTTAACTTAGATGTTTTTAAAACTAGCCAAAACCTTCGAAATGTCTACATCAAGCTAAGTATATGTGTAAACCAGAAGGTAAAACGATCTAACAAAGTGGACTTCAAGCCAGCCCTCGTGAACGTTCGAAGTATTATATACATACTTAAGGCAACAACATAAGGTCATAGTTTTGTTGCCAAGTGACACAGATGAACGAAACGTTACCAAAAGACAACTGACTTTTATATATACTAGTAGGAATACCCGCCCTCCGGGCAGGTATAACTGCTAGTTCCTGCGGAAGACTATTAGGCCTGCTGCCTTTTCTGGAATTGTCTAACAGTTCCACAACAATGTACTCATAGTTGACATTCAATAATGTTCACCATCCATGAGAAAAAGGATTTTATTGAAATTTTAGTTTAAAAATGAGCTATCATCACAGCATTACATCACAGAGTAGATTTTATTGAAATATTTCTTTGTAGACGCAGTTATCAATGAAAGTGCGTTGCTTTTCTGTTGCAATGCTCATGAGATTTTCACTAAAGAAAAACAAATTATTTTTTTAAGTTTGTTTTTGTTTTATATTTGAAACTTATTTCTTTTTTGTCATTATTATTGGTTAAATCTGAAACATATCATTTTTGTTTGTAATTTTTATTGGCTAAATCTGAAACATTTTTATGGAAATTCTAATTGTTCTATTTATTGCTCGGCTATAAAAATACTCCCTAGTTATTGCTTGTTTGGAATTAAGCACAAAGCCACACAATGGGCTATCTGGGCTTTGCCCACCACGGGTATCGAAATCCGGTTTCTAGCGTTGTAAGTCCGCAGACATACTGCTGTGCCACTGGGGAGGGGGCTGTCTAGTTATAAAATTATTGCCCAGTTATGATTGATGATGATCGGTGCGGTGGTTTCCGAGATCCGAGTTTTGGACGTATACATCGCAAGCTCCATTATAATAAGATTCTCGATTGATAACGACTGAGTTGAAGAAAAAAAATATTTCCATGTTCAAAACCTTAAAGTTATTTTATTAGGAGTAGAGTAAAAACATACGTTCTGAAAAAGTTCCATATGACTATTTCAATGCAAATAATTGAATATTTAAAATAATTTTCTCCTTATTACAGTACGGAGAACTCAAAGATCGTGTTGTTTGAAACATATAGACCACTTATCAGATAACCTAAATTTTTATTGGTGTCCAGATAGAGTTTTCATAAGATCGGTAAAAATATTTACAAAACAATGATTTGTTTGTTTGTTTGTAATTAAGCACAAAGCTACACAATGGGCTATCTGTGCTCTGCCCACCACGGGTAT